CAGGTGACTCCCGTGGGGGAGGCTCGAACCCCGGCTCTGGCCATGGTTCAGGGCTGTGCATAAGCAGCCTCCCTCCTGGTGGGCTCGGCCCAGGTGGGCCCTTTGGTGGGGGGGTCCCTGAGTCAGCCGGCCCTGGGGCCTGCGGGTGAAGACAGGAGCAGTCCTGGGTCCGCAGAGACCAGCACACCAGGCCTGGGGCCCTGGAGGAGGGGGCCTGGGCTGGCCCCTGAAGTGCTGTGTGACTTGGGAAAGGCCTCAGGACCCTCTGTTTGGAGGTGGCACGTCCTGTCTTTCCTAGGAAGCCCTCTCTCACGGCTCACAGGAGGTGGCAGGGCAGGGACTCTAGGCCTGGCCCCAAAGTTCTCCCCCCTGCACCTAATATTCTACCCCAGTGGGAGGGGGGTGAGAGGAGCCACCCAGAGGCAGGTAATCGTGATTCTAGGTGAAGTGTCCCTGCAGGCGTCTCTGTGCAGGGACTTAGAGCCAGAGCAACAGAAGTGGCTGCCAGGAGTGGTGGGAGGTGGAATTAGGCACGACCCTGGTGGGTGGGGGTTCTGTCTTGGGGTGATGAGGAGGGTCTGGCGTTAAGAGCAGCGATGGTCGCCCAACTCTGTAGATAATGAAAAGCTGGGGTGGGTGGACCGTATGATGTGTGAGTCATCTCTTGATAAAACTGCTGTGACAAATGTGAGCACAAGGAGCGGCCACTGTCCCTGGGGGAGGCGACGGTGCAGAGGGCATGTGCAGGTGCCCCATGGGGAGGGGCTCTGCCGCAGCGCGCCCACCCCAAGGTGAAGATGTCCTATGTGGAAAGTGCACCGGGTCCCCCCTTCCTCCCAGCCTCCCAGAGGGCAGCTCGGGGCGCTGTCCACTCACTGGTGGTCCTCRCCCCTCTGACGTCRGACAGAAGAGGCTGGACACCCAAGGAATCTTCAGGAAGCAGGTTTATTGACTGTAGGGTCCAGAGGGGCTGTTGCCTGAAATTCTCTGGACCTYGAGTCTGGAAATTCTTGGAACCTTATCCCCAAGGGGACGGGGGCACTGGAGGTTTCCATTTTTGTAGAGTCTGCATAAGAGATTATTTTTTCCCTTGAGTTCACAGAGAGTGCTTTTGGTCCCGTGTTTTTTTAGATTAGTCAGAGGTTTTACAACAAAAGCAGAAGCAACACCATCAAGTCTGCGGCCACACTCAGTTTTTGCAAGATGGAGCAACTCGGCCTCACAAGAAATAGGAAGCCCTGCCCCACATGGGTTTTTTGTAGGAATTTTGGCTGTTGTCCTGTGTAAAAWGCTTTCTGACGAGAGGAGGAACTTACATGTTACAAATATGGTGGGGGTTTCTGTTGGATTATGGTGAGGGTCCCCCAGGTGGGGGTCTCCCGGGTGGGGGTCTCCAGGGTGGAGGTCTCTGGCCTGCTTCACCTCGTGACCTCCAGCCTTCACCGTGGTTGCTGCCGCTGTCCAGCACCGAGAGAGGATCAGATGGCTTATGGCCAATCCGGGGAAGATCTAGGTTCAAAATTCAAAGTACGGTTCCTACCGAATATTTGAAAAATTTTAAGTCAATCCTTGTGAACTGAGGGCCCTCCCACTCAGGAGCATGGAGTCCCTCGGGCGCTCAGCACAGTGTGAAATACTTGATGGGCCTCTTGGCCTTAGGCCTGGCCACTGCCAAAAACCGCAAACAGACTTAAACTTTCAGCAGTCGCATTGCAAACCCGACCTCTGTTACTCATGGCTGACCACACGTCCCCTGGGCCGGTACTGGGGACGGTCAGGAAGCTGTGTGAGGCCTTGCAGTGGGGTCAGGGTCGGGTAATATGGCGATGGCCCAGGACACAGCCGGTTCTTGGCCTACGGAAGCACAAAGACGCCTCTCAAGGGGCTCCGTAAGTCAGTGGTGCACTGACTTGGAGCAGGAGTTCCCGTGGGGTCACTTGATGTCCAGTTTGCTGCTGGGTCTGCCTCCAGTTTTATAGATAAAGCGATGTGGACGCGGTGGGATGGTCAAGACCACTCAGCAAGAGGAGCCCAGGGCAGGACTGGCTGGCAGGGCATCCACAGCCGTGCTGTCCCACAGCCTGTGCCCCAGCCCTGATCTGTGAGTGTGTGTGAGTCCTTCAAAGGTGACCTTGGCTGCAGACTGGAGACCTGGGAGATGGTGGTGGCTAACATTGGAGGTGGAGAGACCAACTGAAGACAGGTGGACATGGAAGTGGGTAGATCCAGCTCACACTCATGGGGTCGAGTCTCAAAAACGTGCCAACCCACCAGGTGGGAGGCATTAAAAAGCGGTGCATTGAACAGTGAGCCCCAGGGTCTGGAGGGCAGACTGAGCAGTGATTTTAGGTTTTTTTCTTTTTCTGTAGTGAGGATTAAACCCAGGGGCACCCAGGGGCTAACACTGAGCTGGGCCCCCAGTCCTTTTTATTTTGAGACAGGATCTCACTAAGTTGCCCAGCCCCATCTGGAACTTGCAATCCTCCTGCCTYAGCCCCTGCCCCCGCCCCCAGGGCTGTGCTACTTATGGAGACACAGAATGCAAGTTCTGTTTAGCGAAGGACAGAACTGAATGAAGGACACTGAGGAGGATGGGTACAGCTGCCCTGAGAACGTGCAGGCAGTGGCTCTTACTCTGGATGTTATTCGACTCCTGATTTGAAGGGAAGGTCAAGTGTAGGCACTCAAAAATACATCCTGTGTGAATCAAGACTGAACCTCAGCCGTCCGTGATTCTGGGCCTCGTGGGCACCGGAAGGGAGCTGGTGAGGAGCTCCCCATGGAGGGATCTAGGAAATTTGTGAAGCTCCATCATTGCAAAAGCATGAGACCCCTGATCTACACCCCAGAAGCCAGAAGAAATCAGTGGATCCCCCAGCCCCTCAGCCTTGCGACTTCCCAAGGCAGCATCCAGGGACAAAACTCAAGGTTAGGGAGCTGTGACAAGTGAAGGGATCAAGTGAAAAACCGCTCATCCATTTATTATGCTGTGGGACAAGACGCATGCTCACAGGGTTCCCCTTCCTCGTGGCTGCTGAGCTGCTTTCCTGCACAAGTGACAGCTTTGGGCTCTTTCCGGGCACAGACCTCTCCACCAGGGGATCAACACCCCCCCATGGGTGGCTCCCCTCTGGCCGAAGCAGTCTCGCCCCAGATCAGGCAGAACATGAGGAGCCCAAGGCTGTGACCAGCTGTAACCAGCAGCTCCCTGGGGAAGGAAGTTGGGGGGGGGACTTTTTGGTGACAAAATCAGAGTCAGATTGGCCAGGAATTATGGGCTCACTGCACCCCGATCCTCCTGGGGTCTAACAGCTGGCCGCTAATCTTCATTTCCTGTTCCACTGAGCTCACTGCTGCAGCGCTGCACGGCTCTAAGCTGCCTGATGTTGGAGTCCGGGCCATGGCCCCTCCACTGGCGCAGCCCCTGAGACTTGGCACGGTACTGGCCACAGAAGGCAGTTAATTAGGCGCATCCCAGGGACTGGGGCAGCGTGCCATGCAGCACTGAGCCTYGCCTGCGCCCCGTGGCAGAGCCCAGCCAGGCCCTGTGCCTGGCCCTAAGGGGAGCACGTGCAGCAAGTCCCCTGATGGAAGGCCTGCTCGGGCCTCTGTTTAGCCTCCCATCTGTTCAACAAGTGGGTCTGTGGTCTCCACAGGGCTTCCTAGAGGTCACACATGCCCTGACCGGGCAGCCCAGTGGGTACAGGCTCGGCACACCCAGGGCTGTGGGCCTCCCTATGGTGTAGGGAGGCTGGTCCCAGAAGCTGATGCCTTGGGGTGAGTGACCTTCATGGGTCTCGGCTCTTGGACGGCTCTACTGCTTCCCACCCAAGCTCTTCTCTGGGTCCCTCTGGGCCACCTTTGAATAAACTACTGACTGGCAGTCTTGGTTGCTGAGACCAGGACAAGGGAGAAGTAGGACTGGACCCCTGGACAGGTGGGGGCTGAGGCCAGGGTCTGAGCACTGTTGTCCCAAGCAAGTCTTACCAGAGACCACTCTCCGGCGGCCACGGAAGGGGTGGCCCCTTGCAAAGGCTTGGATGTGTGTGTGGGGGGATGGGGAGGAAGGTGGGAGGGGGCGGGGCAGGTGATGGAAGGCAGGTGGGGACGGCCAGCCCTACTGAGCCCCTGCTGAAGCTGCTGTGCCCACCTTGGCTTCCAGGTCTGATTCTCCTCCAGGAGCGAATTCCAAACCTCAAAGTCTTTTCCCTATAATAATCCATCCCGCTTGGTGTGCAGAATGACATCTCACAGTGACACAACATCTTTTGCTTCTCAAAGGACTTTTATGCTTGTCTCATTCTTCAGTCCTCACAATGACCTCATGTTACATAAGAGGAAATGGAGGCAGGGACCAGAGGATTGTGCATCTAGCAGTCAGCTAAACTGGGACCTCGGGTCCCTCCCAGCTCTGCTGTCTGTACTGCTGCAGCCTCTTGCCTCACCATGCCACGGAACTGCCTACTAGTCACTGAGAACACACAGACACTCCCAACCGAGTTCTGCGGATGCTCAGAGAGAGGCTTTCCTCTGGTCCACTCTTCAGTGCAGTGTATACAGCAAGTGCTTAATAAGTGCTTATTGGGTTCTCCTTTTKCATGGACCACATGTCGAATGGTGAGAGGAGCCAAAGGCTCATGGGTCAATGCGTTTTTGTAAGAATTTAACCTTCATTAATCTGCAGAGTCATCCTCCAAAGTCCTAGCTGCATGGATTAATGACACCCAGGGCAACGGTGCAGCCAGGTCCAGCTGTGCACCACCACAGACCAAAGCTGGACCATTGTTCTCTGGAGCCCTGAGCTGTCACGCTGAGGCAGGGAGGGACCACTGGCTCGGCCACTCCTGCCCCTGTTCCCTGCTCCCCTTGGCTCCTGGAAAGCAGCAGCAGGCCCCGCAGGGTCAGCAGGGGGCAATAATACTGCTGCCTGTAGGGGGCGCTTGGCTGTGCCCAGGTCACCTCCTCATCACGGCTGTGCACTGCCATCCTGGAGGGCGGGAATCGCTTTCCTGTATTTTTCCTGAGACACCAACTCATTGCTCGAGATCACCSGAGGCCGCCAGCTCCTTGCTGGGCCGGTGCTGGACAGCCGCTGTCCGTCCGTCCTCGCGCACGACAGCAGCAGCCCCTGGTCCCGTTCACTGRCTGCCCCTCGCCCAGTCCTGCAGTTTGTGAATCTGGCGGTCCACCGAGATGGAGGTGCGCAGCGTGCCCACGGAGTTGTCCGCCGGGACGGGCTCGGGCACGCACCCCACTTTCCCGCACGTGCCCCGGTACACCTCGCGGGACTTCTTCCGGAAGCGCTTGCCCACGATGACGTACACCAGCGGGTTGAGGCAGCTGTTGCTATAGGCCACGTAGGAGCTGATCTGCGTGATGACGTCGATGATGTGCTCGTTCCAGCAGCCCGAGAGGATGCCGAGGCGCAGCAGCGTGTCCAGGAAGGTGCTGATCTGGAAGGGCAGCCAGCACACGACGAAGAGCAGCAGCACGGCCAGGACCAGCACGGTGGCCTTCCTCTCTGTCTGGATCTCCTTGAACTTCTGCATCTCGTTGTTCCGGAGCACCTGCATGATCTGCACCGTGCAGAAGGTGATGACGCTCAGGGGCAGCAGGAAGCCCACCAAGTTCAGGAGAACATTGGTGAACACCTCCCAGGTGTGGGACGGGTAGATGATGACGCACGCGGTCACATTGTGGCCCTCATCACTGTACCCCCTCATGGTCCGGAACACCAGCATGGGCGAGCTCAGGAGCAGCGTGCACCCCCAGATCACCAGGCTGTAGAGTTTGGCCCAGCGCACCCCACGCATCCTGCCCATGGACATGGTCTTCACCAGGGCCAGGTAACGGTCGATGCTCACCAGCATCAGGAAGCAGATGCTGCTGTACAGGTTCATGTAGATCATGGTGTTCACCACCCGGCACAGGACCTCTCCAAAGAGCCAGTCAAAGTTGTTGGCAATGGTGATGGCCCAGAAGGGCAGCCCGCAGGCTAGGATCAGGTCAGCCACCGCCAGGTTCCCCAGGTAGATTTCGGCCACCGTGCACCTGCTCTTGTGCAGGCAGAACACACTGAGGACAAAGACGTTCTCGACTGCAGCCAGCACGAACAGGACCCAGAGGAAGGGGGCCTGGGTGGCATTGAGCCAGCCCCACCACTCRGTGTCCGGGCAGCTGCTGTCCTGGGAAAGGGTCCCGTTAAGAGCAGATTCGAGAGCTTGTGAGCTGATGTTGAGCATTTCAGTGCTGAAAGAAAGTGAAAAAGAGGCTTTTAAAACTCCAGGTCACAAGCGCAGAAGGTGTGCAGCAGTGGGATGGTCCATCTGCCCCCCGGGCAGCAGGAGAATGGGCTGAACTGCTGCAGCCAGTGCCAGAAGACCCTGAGACCCCACCCTCCGTCTTACAGTGCCCCTCCACACCTGGACCTAAATGGGACCTCATTTCTTCACCTTGAAGCTCCCTCAGGGTACTTCCTGGGCCAGTGTCCATCAACAGCACTAACGCTAACCATCTGAGTGTTGGGCCGGGGGTGTCTAGAAGCTTCCACAACAGGAGGGTGCATAAGAGTTATCCTCACTTATCCTGTGACCCCTCCCAAAGGAGGGGTCATTCAATTGTGTCATGGATGAGCAATTAATTAGACAAGAAAAATATCCTGCCAGACTGGGAGACTCCAGCCTGGGCGTGAGACCAAGGGCCATCTGCTCACACCCTGTCTCCTGRGTATCCTGCCTCTTCTGGCACCGGGCAGCCTCTTATTTTCACGCCCTCCATCTGCAAAGTGTGGGGTGACCGTGGTGGGATGCATGATGGAGAGAGAAGGTGGGATATCGCAGCCAGACAGTCCTGCTGGCTTCAAATCCTGGTTTGCTTATTTATTAGCTGTGTGACCTCGGGGAAGTCGCCTCTCTGAACCTCAGTGACCTAACCAACAAAATGCACTTCTTAGGATTGTGATGGAGCTCTGAAATGATGGGCAGAAAGCTCTAAACTTCATTTGGTTCAATAAACGAGTAATTATTTTTGTCCACTGATTGGAACAACCGAGTCAAACCCCAGCCCCGCTGTTTGCAGTCCTGGCTTCTGTGTGGGTGACTATTAATGGAGGGGGTCTGGAATCCTCCCCCGAAAGCTCATGTATGGCCAGTGTGGTGGCGTTCAGGGGTGACAGCCTGGATTATGAGGCCTGTGACCTCTTCAGTGGATCAGTCCATCTGAGGGTTCATGATTTGAACAGACTCTTGGGTGTTGACCACAGGCAGGTGCGTGTGGTTTGAGGGAGTAGGTCCTGGGGGCTGTGGCCTCTAGTCCTCTCTCTCTTTTCCTCCTTCCCAGCGGCAATGAGCAGGATTCCKCCCTACGCCCTTCCTCCACAATGTTCCACCACCTCAGGCCCCGAGCAGTGGAGTCAGCTGACCAGGGACTGAGACATCTGAACCCATGAGCCAAAATAAATCTTTCCTGTTGTCAGGTATTTTGATCACCCAAAGGCTGAGTAACGCAGTGACCTTGTCATCAACCCACTGACTCCTCTTTCACTCAGAGACCAGGAAGGAGGTGGTGTTCTGGAAGTGTCTGGGTGAAGACTAACCATTTCTACCTTCAGGAAAGAGGCACAGGACTGGGGCAGAAGTGGGCGCCAATTCTAGCTCTCTCTCGCTGCGTAGTCTTGGGAAAATTGCTTGATCTCTCTCGGCTTCCATTTTTCTTCCTGGGGAGTAGCACATTATTCGCCTCCCGACTTGCCACGATGGTGGCAAGGTTCACATCCGAGAGTGGTAGTGAAGACACACTGAAAAGCGTGCAGCACACTCAGAGAGCGGCGGGCGTGTCCCTAGGGCTTGTGGTGTGTGTGTGTGGAGAGCAAGGGGCTCCTCCTGGGAGGGCCATGGCTGGGAGGCTCAGGAGGAGGAGCTGAGCAACCGAGTGCAGGAGAGGCTGCCCGTGGCCTCTGGRATTTCCCAGGAAAAGCCCTGCTGCTGCTTGTGCAGCTGGAGGCCATCTTGAGCTGGACTGGGGCCCACCCATCCAAGCTTTTATCCTGGAGGGGCTTCTGAGCACCTGCTCTGAGCTGAGCCCCGCCCTGGGACWGGGACACGAGAGGAATCCCACTCTCCCCTGGTCCCGTGAGTGTGGGGTGGAGTGGCCGGCCCAGGTACAGGATGAGGGTGGTGCAGGTGGATGAGGATGGGGAGCCAGGGGTGGGAGACGGGCAGAGCAGGCAGCGGGAGCCGCTGTCGCAGAGTCGGAGAGGAGTGAGAYGCTGGGGCACGTGGTACCAGGGGTTGGGGAGGACAGGGGGAAAGTGCGAGAGGTGAGGTTGAGTAAGGGAACCGAGTGTCTGCCCTGGCTGCTGGGGAAGTGGGGCGCTGCCCCTGTAAGGAGGGGGAAGGGGAGCTGAGGGGTGTTGGGGAAAGATCCCTCTGGTGGCTTGAATAGGCCCCACACTGTTGTGATACTGTTGCCTTCAAAAGGAGCAGCGCACTTCCCCTCCCTGTGGATATGGGCGGGGCCTGGCGACTGCTTCTRACCAATGGTGGCAGTGGTGGTGTCCTCAGGAGTAGGTCATAAAGTGTGCTGCGGCTTCCTTCTCGGCCTCTTGGATTGCTTGATCTGGGGAACGCAGCCACCATGTTGGGAGGACACCCAGGTGGCCACAACCAAGGAACMGAGCAGGACCCCCTGGCGGTGGGTCCTCTGGCCCCAGAAGAGYCCAGGTGCTTCTGCTCCCTGAGCTTTGCATCCTCGCAGCTGAGGCTCCAGACACCATGTCACAGGAACGAGCTCCCCAGCACAGCTTCTAGTCCTGACCCCGAAACAGGAGGCTCCTCTCCAGTCTTCTGAAGCTAAGACCTCCCGTGGCCATTCCCTTAGTCGACATTTGGCCCCATTTCTGCAGCTATAGAACACCCGTGGCCTCGGTGCCCCAGACCCGGGCACTTGGTGTTTCTCGGTGTGTCACTAGAGACTGAAACACAACRCTGGGCAATGTCTTGACTTCTCAGCTGGACAGGTGGAGAGCCAGCCAGCAGGCTGGCACCCTGGCCCACGGCGCATCCTGAGAAGCTGCAGGATCGGCTGTGGGTGGGATGTTGGGAGCCTGGGCCGAGTTGGCCCTCTGGAAGGCTGCACCTGCCACAGAAGCCGGGTGGCCTCGAGTTCAAGGTTCGATGCTCTGACCCTCATTTCCAAGTTTGCCTGGGAGGTCTCGAATGTGACAACCAGGAGCCTGCCCCGTGGCCCTCCCACTGTCCCCTGCAGCAGCCCACTCCCCCACCGGCCTGCAGGGAYCAGGACACTGTCTGCTCCTTGGCTGTGGACCGAGGGCCGGGCTCTCTGGGGAGCAACCAGGCTGTCTAAGCAGCACAAGGAGAAGGCCCTGCACTCACCTGAGGGAGGCTGTGGTGGGCATGGGGTCCTCATGCACAGAGAGCAGCCCTGGTCTCTTCCAGGTGGAGAACATCTGGCCTCAGAGCAGGACGAGGGCGAGGCCCGGCCTGGACTGGAGGAAAGAGAGGAGACGGTTAGCGGGCGGGGCCGTCGGGGACCATAAGTGCATTCATTCCCCACCAGCGAGGGAGCAGAGGGTGCGGAGGCCAGTACCCCGCACATGCTGATGAGGTGCTCGCTGCACGCTGGGTGCTGGGCACGTAATGGCGAGATGAGTGCTGGAGCCAGAGGGTACCCAGATGGTCACCAGTGATGCCCACTGATCAGACGCAAGGTCCTGTGTTAGTGATATGGTTTGGGTGTGTCCCCAGGCATTTTTGTATTGCAAGCTGGGTCCCTAGGGGGGTGATGTTGAAGGTGGTGGCTGAGTACAGGGTAATTTGGCCACTGGGGCCACTGTCCCCCAGAAGACACCAGTTGGTTGTCTGAGAGGGCTATTGTACAGAGCAAGACTGGCCTCCCCTCCTCTGGCTTCCTGTCTGGCCATGTGATCTCTCCCTCAAACGGGCACTCCCAAGGTGATGTCAAGAGGCCCTCAACAGAGCTGGTTCCACACTTTTTGCACTTTTTGGCCTCCCAATCTGTGAGGTAAATAAACCTCTTTTCTTTGTAAGTGTACAGCCTCAGGTGTTTTGTTATAGAAATGGAGAGTGAGTAGATACTGATGTTGAAACCTGAGCATGAGCAGGAGTAGGAGGGTGAAAGGTCATGGTAGAGGAAGAAGGAGCAGGTGCAAAGGCCCAGTCAGGGGGACTGGAGGTCTTAGGCCCTGGAGGCTGCTAGGACAGGGGATCATAGGGGCCAAGTAGAAATGTGGAGTGGGGCTAGCAAGTGTCCATTAACCTAGGCATGGGGTGGTGGAGAGGGAGGAGGATGGATTCCAGAGGGTTCAGAGAGTAGAGCTGATGTGCTGGTCCCAGGTTGGACACAGAACGGTTGGGGCTGGGGGGTGCTCTGCCTTCTACAGAGCAGAAGAGCAGGGAGGGCAGGCCTGCAGGGGGACCCTGTATCTAGACTGGACTGAACCAGAGAGTGAGGTTCTTCTGAGACTTGCAGCTGGGGAKGAGAAGCTGTGGCCCAGGGGGGGCTGGAGCTGCCGGAGGTCTGAGGGCAGAGCCGGACGGAGGGGAGTTAGATGGGCCTTGAGGGCTGCGAWACGCATAGGAGACGGCTTGGAGGAGGGTCCTCGGTCCCTTCTGGTGTTGGCAACACAAGACTCCCCTGTATTGGGTGGCCCTGGAGGAGAGGTGCCACGCCCACCCCTGGGGGCCTGTGCCTGCTGCACGCCTGCCCTGCCCCGAGGATCGGGGTGCAGGAAGGTGCGGATGTTCTGCATCCTACTGCTGGGGCTGCAGGTGGGGCTTACACCCCTTGCTCTCCTCCACACCTAGCACTCCCTGCAGGCTCCCAGGGGACCTGGGACTCCTGCCTAACACGCATGAAGAGCTGTGGGCACATGCAGTTGTGTGTGTGTGTGTGCATGGGTGTGCCCAGGTGTGCATGGGTGTGCCTCGGATCTTCCCCGTGCCAGCTTCCAGCCCCTCAGGAACACGGGGTCTGGATGGGCCCTGGGCACTGCCCTTCTGGAAGCCCGGCTCTCCTCATTCAGCTGCGGGACGTGGTGATCAGGGAGCAGACGGCCCAGGGAAGTCACTCAGAAGATGAGGAGGCCGAGTCAGTCGRTGGGGCGCCCAGGGCAGGTGTTCAGTCGACACCCGGAAGAGACTCAGCAGAGCCAAGGCCAGGACCCGGAACTTGCCAGGGACGCAGCGAGCAGAGTCCCTCTGATCCTTTGGTGGGGGGGAGGTTGGGGGAGGGAAGAAAGACCTCGTGACTGGTTTTCTGAGGGGGCCTTTCCTGGCTCACRGAGAGAAAATCCACCTGCGGGCCAGAGGTCATGTTTGAATCACTTATTTTAAAAACATTTCAAGGATAACTCAGCGCCCACCACTCATTTGCTGGCTGGCCAGCAGGGAGGAGGGAGGACGAGCCTCCCCTGCCCCTTGGGCTGGCTGTCCAGCTGAGCTGTGCAGCAGGGGACCTTAGCCTCCCTGCCTGGCCTCCGATTCCCACCCAGAGAAGGACAGCCACGAGTTAGCTCAGGTCCTGTGGTGCCTCCCCCCTGGGGAGATGTCCATGTTTCCGGTGACCTCTGTCTGGGGGTCCCAGATCTGGCCAAGTCAGCCCAGCTGAACCTCATCACTGCTCGGGCTGTAACACAGCGCTCATTTCAGAACAGTCTAGGACATTCCCAGTGTCCAGAGYTCAGGGGACTTAAGCTCAGGGGACAAGAGAATCTGGGAGCCTGGGTCCCTGCTGGCTCTGTCCATCTGCTCTGGAGGTGGGACTTGGGCAGGGGGCTGTGTGTTCTGCTCCAGGTCCCCTCCGGCTTTCCCCCTGGACCCCTGCCTCTGGAGCCCCATGGGGACAACTCCACGGCTCCTTGCCWCCTGGGTTCTCTGGGTTTGGCCAGTGGAGGCCCAGGCAGGAGGCTGAGGGAGGGCGGAGTGAAGATGGGCTTCCCGGGCGCTCTCCCTTTTGTCCCCTGTCACAATGTGTGCCCATATTTTGGGGTTTCATATTAGAGCTGGCCCTCAGGGACTGGACCAGAGTCCACCATGTCCACTGGGGGCCCTGCTCCCAGAGGGGAGGGGCAGGGAGCTCAGCCGTGGGTCCGCAGCCCGAGGCACAGGGGAGGCACCTCCTGTCGGACTGCCCTGGGACTCTGTTCACCTTCCCTTCATGTTTCCCAGCCTGAAGGTGCTGTCGCTCTCTGGGGACCTGACTAACGCGTCCAGGGATGGTGAGGTCAGGTGTGAGGGCAGGGGGGAGGAGCGTGGCTCGGGGCGTGGCGCAGGGCGTAAGGTGGGATCAGGTGCAGCCCTGGGTGATCTGGAGTGAGTCCCCTATCTCTGTGGGCCTGGGTTGCCCCTGAGCAGAGCCGGGAGGGTGGACATCAGCCCTCTCAGACGCAGACCTCCATGGCCAGGCAGGGGCCTGTGGACAGGCGCGGACTCTAGCGGATGCTTCCAGGGGACCTCCCACGTTCTGACCCGCCGTCCTGTCTCCACCAGGAACACTGTGCACATAGTTCCCTGGTTAGTCACCGAGCACGGGGCTGGGTGCTGTCGGGTGAATTCCACGTTAGTCTCAGAGGGAGTCTGTGTGCTTTCCCAGGAGCCCCGGTCTCAGGGCCTTGGAGGCTGGGCCTCCCCCGGGCACAGGGCGTCACCATCTCCAGCACCAGGCTTTGCCCGGACCCCCAACCTGGGGCAGTGATGGGGTTCAGGGAGCTGGGGAGCCGCAGGTGCTGGGAGGACGCACTGAGGCCAGAGCAGCCAGAGGCCTCCCGTGACAGGGTCCCTGTGCCTCGCAGCTCTGTGGCAGGCGGCCACAGGATCTGCAGGCCCCGTCTCCAGCGTGCACCCAGCTCCTCCGCCGCCTCTCTCCCGCGAGCTCAGCATCAACCCCTCCCGCTCCTGGAGCTCACGTGGGGTAAATGTCTCTGCTTCTCCGTGAGCTGCCTTTTGTGACAGGGGCCTCRGCCGAGGAGGGCAGAGGGAAAAGGTCCTTTTGTCCCCATGACAACGCATGCTGGTATTTGGGGGTCTCATGTAGGAGCTGGGGAGCATTTCCCAGGCGGGGGTGGGGTAGACTGGCGGGTGATGACCTGGAGTCCTCCTCCTCACTAGGCAGGGAGAAAGGCGCAGCCTCGTGCCCYGTGTCTTCAATGCCTCTCTAGTATTCAGAAGCTCCCTGCTCTGGACATGTCCCCTGAAGCTCATGCACTGAAACCTTAGTTACTCACTCTGCTTGCCCGTCTGCTTTCTGTCAGGAGCTGAGCAGCCTTTGTCTTCCCACAGTCTCGGACTTCCATCCTCCTGAGCCAAACTGGACCTTTTTTTCCTTTGTAAATTTCTCAGTCTCAGGTGTTCTGTCATAGCAACAGAAAACAGATAGAGACATTCCCTGTTTAACAGGGAGAGCAGGCTCCGCTGTGGCTCACCCCTACCCCCCCATCTAGTCATACTTTAATAAAGTGTCTATATTTTTATAAATAACTCCTTTTAAATGACAAATGAAACTCATTTTCTCTTTAGGTTGGTGATATGAGCTTACAGTTGGAAAATAAGCCAGTAGTAAAGCTATACCTGTGCAGGTGCCRTAGATATGGCAGAACGGAATGGTCAATGAGGAAGGGTCTGGCGGTGTCTGGCTGGACACGTGCAGACAAGTGGGGGGGGGCCCAGCCTGGCAGTTTGGGGGATGGACTGGAACCAGGCCTTGGACTCAGTCCTCCTCCAGGGGCAGGCTGAGTGACCTCGTTGTGCCTCGTTTTTCTCAAATGTCTGATGGGGCTTGGTATAAAAGTATCTTGATCCTCCCCGCCCCCCTCGGGCTGCTGTGGGGAGCAGATGAGTCAATGCAGGTCAAAGGCAGGGAGCGGTGGTCAGAGTCCTTCCCAGACCAAGGCACCCCCATGAGAAGGCCACTCCAGGGGCCAGGACGCAACCCAGCCTGCTCTCCGGCTCACACTGACTTCACAGACGGAGGGAGAACAGGTGTTTCTGAGATGCCCCAGCTGCCCACCCAGGGGAGGCTTTGAGGAGGTAGTAGAGGGGTGTGTGTGTGCGTGTGTGTGTGTGTGTGTGTGCGTGTGTGTGTGTGTGTGTGTGTCGCAGCATAGCCAGTCTCGGAGGGGAGCACCCTGCCTCCTGTATCGCCCCACCGTCCCTGCTCCCCACGCCGGCTGCTGTGGTCAGCACGCCCTGATCTCTTGGACATTTGCTCAGGGCACCCAGCAAGCTGGAGTCAAGGCCAAAGCTAGAAAGGAGGGGGGTCTCCTGAGCTCTGCTTCGACACCCCCACGGTAACCGCTTTCCCCTAGGTCCTGGTTCACAGGGTCACCGAGTCAGGGTGCTGTTCAAGGAGCAGCACTGGGTGAACGTCCGGCTGCAGCTCATACAGGGAAGGGCCAGTGACGCCTCGTAAACCTCCCGGGCAGGGAGGTGT